CGCCAGTTCCGGCGAGCGGTCGCGCGCGGTAGCCGCGGCCCCCGCCCCGCGCGCGGCCGCCCCCGTCGGGAGCGGAGGGGCGGGGCCGGCGAGCGAGGGAGCGAGCGAGCGAGAGGGAGGCCGCGGGGTGCGGGCGCCCGGGAGTTCCCTCCTTCCTCCCAGCGGCGCGTCCCCGGCCGGCCGAGCGGCCGTCGCTGCGTCCGGGCGCCCCGCGAGCCGGAGGTGCCGAAGCCAGAGGCCCCGCGGCGCGCGTGCGAGCGCGGCCGGACGGCAGGTAAGCGTCGCGGAGGGGCCTGGCGACCCGGGCGGCTGACCCCGGCCCGGCAGCCCTAGGCCCCGGCGTCCGCCCTCCCGCCCCCCGGCTCCTGCGGGCGCCGCGGCTCCCGCCGCCGTCCGCCTGCGGGGCCCCGAGTCTGGAAGTTGAGGAGAAACTTCTCCCCTCCCCCGGGGCCGGCGGGCGTGTCTCCGGGGCGCGCTACCTGCCCGTCCCCGCCCGGGTCCCCCCCTTGCCCCGTCCACCGCTTCCCGGTTCTGCCTCTGTCGGGGCCGCCGCTGCACCGTGCCTCCCTAAAGGTCGCGGGGTCGCTCGAGGGAGGGCGAGCGGGAGGCAGGGGAGTGGCCCCTTCGGGTCCCAGCGGCCGGGGGGGTCTGTGTCTCCTGGTGCCCGCCAGCGGCCGTCGGGAACGTCGACGGCTGGGACGAGGGGCGAGCGGGTGAGCGGCTGGCTGTGCCTGGTCTGATGGAGAACCCGACGGGCTCCCGAAGTTTTCCGTTGTTTGGGTTTGAGGGTGTTGGGAAATGTTACTTTGAGCGGCCACTTTTAAGGTGCCTGTGGCGCTCCGCCTCCCGTGGGGTTCGGTTCTCCGGCCTCGTGTTAGTGAGAAGGCGTTTGGAGAGTGTGTTTTCCTTCTTGACGATCGCTCCTGGCCGTCGGCGTTATCGGGCTTGGGGAAGAGTTGTTTTCATTAAGTGGGAAGACTGTTTCTGGTATAGGGGCTGCTTGGAGTAGTGAGTGGGGCGCCGCGCAGTTTTGTTGGGGTTGTTTTTTGCAGAAGTGATTGAAGCAGCCATGGAATGGCTGATGACGGTCATCAAGGTAAAAATAAATGAAGTCTGCAGTAGGCCACAACTTTGTAGCTCTGTCGTTTATAATGTGTGTTCCACAGCCGTGTTTTCACATAGGTGATTTCACGGGGTACTGGGATAGTGTGCTTGTGCGTTATCGTGTAAAATTATTGTACCAAAAGTATCTTGACAGTTGAAAGGGTATTTGAACATCCTGTCAAATTTTTTAAATTTAAATTATACACTAATGAAAATGTTACTAAGTGTGCAAACGTGACTGAGTTTGAGGCAGAATACATGCCAAGTCTATTAACAAGCACAGTGGTTGTGGACTGGAAGCATTTTGAGTGGACAGATAAAGGAATGTGAATTAAAAGCCAGAGTTCTTATATGCATCACATATGAGAGAGAATACAAACTGTAGGAAAGTAACTCGCCGGGAATATTTTGTTTTCTTCTTCTTGCCATATCAGCATTTAGCTATATCTTACTTTTGAACACCAACAAAACCTCTGAAAATTTAGATGCTGGTTGACATTTCAGTGGGTCTTAATTTTGAAAACAAAATCAAAAGGCAAAACATGATTGCCTTTGACCAAAACCTTTGATACAAGACCGTTTGTACCCACGTTTCCAGGATAAAGGATAGAAAGGCTCTTAAAATGCGTACTCTGCCATAACCACGGTAATGTTTTTATAGCTTTAATTTTGCAGCTAGTTTTTGCTGACTTCACAAACCACAAAATTGACTCCCTTCTGTTCAACTGAAAGTGAATTACAGCCCTGACCTGTCTTCCTGACATAGGTGTAAAGTTCGTCTTATGGCCAAAGGATATTAATATATAGTCAAAATTTGGTTTAAGTTGAGGAAATCCTCAAAAAAAAAATCATTGTCTCAGCAAATTTTACTTCATTGTATATATAGATGAAAGAATACGATAAAGAAAAGCATGTACTAGGACAAATGAAATATGACTAATACTTGTTTGTTTCTGTTTCACATTTGCATAGTTCTAAGGGTAAGTAGCTTATTACTGTAGGTAATTAAAAAAAAATATTTAGCTCCCAGTCCAGTGAGGAGCTCCGTGTGGGCAGCGCTTATTAGTTCATTATTTGGGACAGAAGCCTGAATAGATTTTTTTTCTTTTCTTTTTTTCTTTTAACAGAATTGCTAGGCCCTAATGTGTAGGGGTGAAAATTTAAGTGATAAAACTATTATTTAAAAAGAAGTAGAAGGAAGTGATTAGCGTAAAACCAAAGATGGGGAGAGAAGTGGGCGGCTGTGATAAGGGCTCCCACTTCTGTAGAAGTAGGGAAGTTCTTTTAACCTTGGGGTCTTGGAGGTGTTTGTCATAATGTAATTTATCAAGTCATACATTTGTTTGTTTTCTGTACCTGGCTTTTAGTTTTTACATGGGAATATTTTTAAGAAGCCTGAATGTAATGCAGTATAGATGATGTGTAGATTAAATTAATAATTAAAATTTTGGGATACTCTGGATTCCTGTCACATCCTTTAATCTTTTCCCTCTTTGTTAAAAAAATTTTTTTTTAGTCTTTGGTGAGTGACTTTAGGAGACTCCCTGCGCTCTTCTTTGTTAGCAGGTTTAGATATACTGCATCATAGCCGTCTTACAGTTTGGTGTGTAACTGCCTTGAAAATACCACACACTTCCAAATGTACACTAATGAGAGAATTTTGAAAAAAGTGTTTCTTAATTGAATTCTGGGGTTTTGTTATTGATATTTTAATATTTTGAGAAACGGTATTGTGCTTTACTATTTTTAAATGTAAGTAGTAAATAGTAATCACAATGTTTATTGAATGAATGGATGTTGTTTTGTTATCAGGTACCTACCTCCCTCTCAGAAAATCAGGTTCCATGACAAAATTGATAAAGCAAGGCTTGACTTTCATTCATTTTTTCCCCCTGAAGCAGTAAAAAATTTCAGTGTTGATTTTGATATTCTTATGCGATTTTTATTGTGTGATGGTTTTTCCTTACATGTTGTGACGTGTAGAATCTGAAGAAATAATACACTTTTGTTGCAGAAGGTAATGACAATTTTGTGTTTCAGAGAGGCAAAGTTGCCTGCTGCTGCTTTGTTTATAGTGTGCAGTGTCTGGCTCGACTTTTTAGCTGTTGGTCTTGCTGCTTCACATTGTTGTAATGGGTCACTGAAGAAGAGATTGCATCTGTGCCAAGTTCATATGTCACAGGAACTTTGCCCTGTTGTAAAGGTGATGTTTGTGATTCTGGCCTTGTGTGAATATTTACAGGAAGTTTTAGTAATATCTTCCATTTTTCAGAGAGCTACAGGGCTAGGTCGCATTTGGTTCACATTTAAACTGCTTTATATTATAAATACAAGTCCTCTAGCGAGACCTAACTGCTTCTTTAAAAAAAAAAATGCCCTGTTGCTATTAAAGTGTCTTGCTGTCTTAGCAATGCCCTGTACAGCCATTTGTGTATGGCTATGCTACGCTGTATATTTTCTTTTATTTATTTTTTATTTTTTTCTTTCAGCTGCTCCGGTGCCACAATTAGCTGAGTATTGCTCAGCTGCAGCTGCTGGGTGATTATGAGCCATCCAGCTCCTGTCTAAACTCAGAGGCAGATTTAGCAAAAGGAGCTATAGTAACAGTCAAGATAGAAAGAGAGGAGCTGGTGCTCCTACCAGTATCATTTGAGCCAGCCTGTGCCAAGGAATCCTTGGCTGCTGCAGCACTAGTGTTAGTGTTGTCTTGGAACCAACTGAATTGATGGCAGCATAACTTGATCTGAGTTAAGCTTTACCCTTAACGTTGGGAAACATACTCCAAGAAAGATGGAGAATCCTATGATTACAAAGTATAGCATGATGTACTGATGGCCTGAATTACAAGCCTCAGTGTCTCATCTCCTTGCCCAGCGGTGCCCTTTGGTATTTATTCAGTTTCAAGAAGCATTTGATATATTCATTCCATTCTGCTTTAACGACTGTTAATATTTGGGGGATGGTGGGATTGCTGATGCACATTGATTTTGGACTCTTCCCCCCCCCCCCCAACAAGAAGCACAAGACCCTTGAGAGGGTTTAGTTCTATCTTATCCTGTTGTCTGAACTTTGAAAGTAGAAACCCCAATTTCTTTTTTCTTACTGTTGGTATTTGAGCAGATGAGCCTCAACAAGTACAAGTGTTGCCATGTGTGATAGTCTGTATCACCTCCTGGGGAGTAGGCTTAGAGGGGAGGGTTGGGAATTCAGGACCAGCCAAGGTCATTTAGTAATACCTTGTCTCAAAAGTAAAAGAAAACAAAATGCAAATATAGTATCAGCTGTGTGTAGCAAATTTCAGACGGGAAGGGGCCATGGGCAAATTTTGCAACCTGTGAAATGATATGCTGCGTCTTTTACTGCCTTTTTACAGCTCTCTACTTAAAATGTAGGGACATCTCCTTTCACTAATCCTGGAATTACTGGGTGTTCAGGATTTAGCTAATTTGAGGTGAGGATTAGAAAGTTCAAATTTGCATAACCCAGAGATGAGATTCTGAAGACTGAAGATGGTCAAGTCATTTAGGTCACTTAACAAGAGACTGCTAAAACATTCTCTTCCTTTGTGTCTCACAGAGCTCATGACAAAGCACATTTCTCATAAAAATGTAATTTTTCCTCCCTGTGGCTGTTAGAGTTGACATAGTGTTTTGGTAATCCACAGTAAAAAATTTTTAAAGACTTTTATTTATTTATTGAGAGAGTGTGTGTGTGTGTGTTGGTGTGTGTGTGTGTAGGTCAGAGGACAGCCTTCAGGAGTCCATTCTCTCCTTTCAGCATGTGTGTTCTGAGATTGAAGTCATTGTTATCCAGTCAGCCATAATCTTTGATTTATATCAAAGATGTGGTTTGGGGTATGACCATATGACAATAACTATGGGCTTTTTTCCATAACATTGTATGTGTTACGTAAAATTAACAATTTGTGTATCTGTACCAAAATTAATAAAATTAGCAAAGTGCTTTCTTCTAGATTATCATTAAATACGAGATTTTATAAAATAATTTTAAAGTCTTACAAGTGTGAATTTTTGAGTTTTTCTTTATAAACTAAAAGCTATAGTCAAATTAGTCTTTAGGAAAGTTTATTTTAAAGAAATACTTTTTACAGTTTTGACATTTTGGTTGTAAGCTTAGCCTTTAATGGCAGAACCATTTCTCCAGCTCTTT